GAATTACACCCACATCCAATATTTGTTGTTTGACTTGCAAACTACAACATTCTGCTAAGCCTAATGTTGATAAATGCCATGGTTTTCTGGGTACGTTCTGGAGCACTACTGATGAAAACTGTGTCATCCTTTCTTTCCCCCTCCAAACAGGAATTTTGCTGTTAGCTCTTTTGTCTGCAAAAAAAAATGCTTCTTGCCACTTCATTAAACTTGTGACATTATCCCTTTTTATATATTTGTGTGTTTCTTTCATATAGATAGGCTGAGGTTTGATTACTTCCAGCCTGTACAAGTCAAATGTACCTTGGAATGTTTTACAATGTCTGACAGCTATGAAATATAAGTACTATGCAATTTGACTGTACATACATACATATTTTCATAAATACATCCGAACAGGGACCTCAGAACTAAATAGGCAATAGTATGGGACGAAACCACAACAGGCAGCCTTATTTTGTAGGACCTTTATAACCTAAAATAAAATGGGAGTTTCCATAATGTTGGTTTTGTACACAAAGTAAACAAATCAATACATTGTATTTTACCGATGAAATAATTTCAATGCATTTGCAAATGATTTGACAGGAAAAGGGTGTAATTTACAACACTCAAAACTTTTTAACAACCATTGATTTATATGTATTGTACTGTAAAAGTCACCCGAGAGAAGCCTAGCAAGGTTGAGCATGTAGTGGTAGGTCCCAAAGGCAACTCCCAAATATCTTCCTCAGATGGAGACTTTGGTAATTGTCTATTGTATAAAACTCCCCTCTCTTACAACTGCATTCATTTTGCAAGTGGGAAGTTGCATCCGTTTGCCTCGCGAAAAGAATAGTCCCAGCTTTATACTTTAGTTATTGTGAAGACATTCTAAATCCACAGAGCAACACACATTTCCATTCTGTGAGGAGAAAGAAAACAAAGAAAATAAGATGCATTAATGCTATTAGCACAACCAGTGAATATGGCTTTTATGACATGGGCTCTAAAAACGTATATGAGCATTTTGCAATTCAGTCCACCAAAGATGAGACAACCAAGACTTTTTTTATTGTCAACAGGCCTGCTTTGTGCGTTTACCAGGGAATAGTGCTGCAGTAATATAGTGGAGGGATGGCAGAACTCCTCCATCACATAGATGGGTGTGGAGTTTGCCTCCCAGGATGGGTCATAAGGAAAGGGTTAAAATGGGTGTGATGTGATTAGCCAGTGAGAATGCAAGGGGGGAATAAAAGTTAGAGTGGGAGGTTTTGAAAGTCAGTTGAGGTTTGGGAGTTGAGTTGAGGTTTGGGAGTTGAAGAAGGAAGAGGGAGGTTTAGGTGTGGGTTGGTAGAGTTGTATTGTGAGAGAGTTAGAGGAATTGTTAGGTAGAGTCAGACAGATAGTTGGAATAATCAGTTTGGAGTTGTTAGGAACTAAGAATAAGAAACTGACAAGAGAAAAATTAACTGAAACCATAAGCTTGTTCCTGCATTTAAAAATAAACTTGATTATTTGTTTATGTTAACAACTGACTGGTCTCCGTGTGTCCCCGTGAGATACGGGGTGGTGGCAGCGGAAAAAGCAATCGCAGTGGCGGCCCAGGGTCAATAGACCGTCAAATGTCTGGGGGCCCTGTGTGTGATCGCCACAATGGGGTTGCACTCTCTCTGTAGGAACAGCTGTGCGGTTTGAGGGATGCAACACCATCTCTGTTGCTGGTGACGCAGGTGATCTCTGGAGCGAGGAGGACCTATTATTAGCTTGTGCGGGTATGTTAGCTACGCCCTTTCCTGGACAGAAATCACTTAGTCACTGTGATTCATGTGTTGATTGTGAGGAGAACCTGAGCTTACAGGGTTAAACAGTTCAGAGTGTACACCCTGCCTACTATTGGGAGGGGGGAGATTCTGCATCATATCCGAGAGTCTAAACCCTTTGTTTTTTCTACTTTCGCTTTTGAGGAGAGTGGGCGTGTTTTCACAATGCTGTTCGACAATGGATAGTCTGCTGTAATTAAAAACTGCTTTTAGCTGCTAAGATCCTGTCTGGACTTTATTTAAGCACACTGGAGTAAGCACTGGAGCTTGCAGCTTTCTCTTACCGCTGCTAATCTCTGCGTTTGCTCAGAGCATCGGAATGTGGCCCTTTGAAGTGCGGAGGCCTGGCTGGTAGCTGCGCAGCCGAAGCGGGCTGGACGCCAGGTTTTATCTGAGCAATAAATCAATCTTCTTCATTGATAACCTCACGATTGGGCTACTGCAGTGTGCTATATGTAGGGCTTTCCTTAAGATTGGGCTAGAAGCTGCAGCTAGTGCAGAATGCTGTGGCCATATTATACCTGTGGTGAGGGAACTGCAGTGGCTGCCAATCAGCAGCCATACGTTCCAAGGTGGTCTTGTTAACATACAACTTGGGACTAGGTACCTGCTCCTGTCTAGACCTGAAAGTTACATAGATCCTCTCAGGAAATTCTACCTGTGGCACTGTATCCTGTACCATAGGGTATGTTTTTCTATTGCCTGTTTCATTGGCCTTTAGGGGGTTTTGTGTGTGTTCTTGATTTAATGATATATGTTTTAGATGATACACTGCTAATATCTTTTAAAAACATTAACCAGTTTATAAATGCTGCTCACCCCCCACCCCCTTAAGAATCGGTGCAGTTTTAACCTTGTCTATTCAGCTGTAAGTGCTACCAAATGCCATGGGGCTTACTCCCAGGTAAGTGGGGTTAGGCTTGCAGCCTAGGATACTTGCCCCCTAGTTACTACTAATTGGGATAGCCTCTTGTGCAGACTGAACCATTTGGACCAGTGGGATTATATATCTCTATATCCGGAGTTTTGAATTATGGAATGATCTTGTTTGGTACTTCTTGTGGTGAGGTACAGTCACAATAATTTTCAGGAATCATTGGGGTTAAAGGGAACTGCTTCATATTGGTGTTTAGATAACTAAGAACTACAACTATAGCTGGAATTCGCAAGCTACAGATTCTTAATGACTTAACTGATGTGTACATTTGGTTTGCAGTCATGAAGTTACTTATATCTACTCATCATGTTGAGTTTGATTTCATTAAGCTTGTTCAGGTAACTTGGGACAGTATGTTCTGTTAAGAAGGAACTAACAAAGATGCCTCTTCAAGTGTCTGATATACAGAGCAGCTTCCTGCCTGCTTTTACCAGGTGCATGGAACTCTTAATCCACATGGCAAACAGAGCAAATCCAATACCATACTAATCCTATCTCTGCTGCCATATGATTTGAGTCTGTGACATCTGAACCTCAGAGATACACAAATGGAAGCAACTATATTCCCCTGTCACAGCTCAGCGCAATGCCTCAGGGAAAGAGCCCCAAGGGCAAGAAAGCAAATCAAATGAATTAAAGCTCAAATACTCCAGCCATGGCTTATTGCTGCACTGTGCATGAGAAAATGGCGAAGAATACCCTGTTACAGTATTTTATACAGCATTTCATAAAACAGCATTTGGTACTTTCAGTGATCTAGAAAGGATCAAAGGAAAGCAATTCCGTCCAGGAAGATGGTGTAAAAAGAACAAGAAATCATTATTTGATTAACATGCATTGCTCAAGTGCTGCATGTTAGTCACTGTAAAAAGTTACTATTTTGGTACACTTTCATTTTCTTCTCATTTTAAATAAAAAGCATAACCTTGGATGATAACGGATGCTAATTGCACTAAGTGCATTACAGTATTTCCGAAAGCTAAAGTGGATGAACTGATAAATATGATTTCCCAAAAGGATGTCATTTTGGTATCAGTTTACATTCACAGTGAAATCTTCTTGCCCTAAACTATAATGGCTTTAGAAAGTTGTGTATAGGACAATGCCACAAAACTATGACAGGCAGCACAACAATACTTTATGAGGCCTGGAGCTCTTGCATGCCACTGACATTCATCTTTTAGAGGAGTGGAGGGCTTCTTTAAGTGGCCGAGGACTTTCCAGGTTTTATGTGCCAACAGATGATGAGTTGGGGAGGTTTTCTGTATCTATTGGGAAGCACTGATAGAATGAATAGAGTGTTGGGCTAGAACCTGGGAGATCAGATCTTACTCAGCCATGAAGGTCATTGTGACCTTACGCCACAGCCTAACCTACTTCATAGTGCTGTGTGAATAAAATGGGGAGAAGGAAGACCATGTATGCCACTTTAAGGTCTATGGTAGAAAGTTGAAATATAAATAAATGTGGCAGGACACCCCACACACCCTCAAAAAAGTATCCTGCACCACCTCTAATAGTGAATTCAGAGTAATTCTAGATTCTGTTGGCAGTGATTATGACTATAGTGACAATTCTGAAACCTCACAACTTCAAATGGGCCATTTCTGCACTAATCTAAAATGTGTGGCTTGAGGGTTGTCATCTCCATTGTTTAATATTCCATTTTTATTCATTCCACCATGAATAGCGAATTATACTCCAGAAAGTTTATAAAACCAAGCTACAAAATAGGATTTGTGTTTCTCTTGATTTTCCTGCAATAGAGAATAAATGTATATTTCTACCCTTTACCTTCAATTTTTGCCCATCTCTGTAAGGAAATAGAGCAAGAAGCAAAAGGGATTCAAAATGAATGCAACATAAATATATTGCACCCTGCAATTGGTATTACTGTAACTGCCTTGCTAACAGGCAGGTTATTTTTGAAAATACATATTTATAAATGTCTAAAATGTTTACTAGTTATTAACATCACTATTCTACATGCATATTAAGAATAACTGCAGGGCTTTAAGAGAGACTATTTTAAAGTTGTAGAAGAAGCCTACTGAATATTTCTGGCCCTATCTCCCTGGATAATAATCACACAATTACCATTACACAAATTGCATAATTTTTGTTACTGCATTCTCATTCTTCCGTTGCAGCTCACTGCTGTCAGTGGCAGCTAAAAGCAACATTCCTGGGTAAAGAGTCTGACTCCTACACACAAATTATGTGTACTGCCCTCCCCTCCTCCACCTTTTACTATCAAATACCTTGCATTTGCAAGTTGTACAAGGAGACCCGAGCATTGTCCATACGGAGCCACTAAGTCGTGCTATTCCATAGCCATCTTGACAAGTTTTTCTGATATCGTAGGTTATGTTATCAGCCAAACAAGGATCACTGACACAACGAGGGCAACATTCTCCTTCTGATATTGCTGTGAAGTCACAGGTGAGAGTGGGGCATGCAAGCGGCCAACAATCTACTTCACCTTCCTGGGAAAACAGAGAGAGACCCACAGTAAGTTACGTAAAACTATGAAACAAAATATCAATAGCAACTACTTCTTTGATCAACTTTTACTGTTAGGCCTGAGGCATTACCTAAAACTGGGGTGGAATAGGACTCCCCTTATTCCATTGTTGCCCATAATAGCAGAGGCTGGTGGGAGTTTGGGTACCTCAGTCTCTTGAAGGGTACAAGTTCTCCATTCTTGACTAAAATTCACTTACAAAATAGGCATATTCTGATCTGGCAGTAGTCTAAACAGTGCAGTGTTGCTGAGCACCACATTTACAGCAGATTAAGGACCATGCACACATCTCTGATGGATAAAGGCAGACCTCCAACCAGGGATGTGGATACACCATGCTGCTGTACAGTCGTACCTTGGAAGTCAAATGGAATCCGTTCCGGAAGTCCGTTCGACTTCCAAAACCAAAGTGTTTGACTTCCAAATCACAGCTTCTGGTTGGCTGCAGGAAGCTCCTGCAGCCAATCAGAAGCCGAGGAAGCCCAGTTGGACGTTCAAGTTCCAAAAGAACATTCGCAAACTGAATCAATCACTTCTGGGTTTGCGGCCTTCGGGAGCCAAAACGTCCAAGTTCCAGGGCGTTCGACAACCAAGGTACAACTGTATATGAAACTCATTTGCTGAACTCGGTGATGTGATAATATAGAGCTTCTGAATGAAAAGCCACAAATGGTTGAATTCTGAAGCACATTTTTGTTTTGATTTCATAGCCCTATTATGCAGATGTGCATCTTCATCACAAATTGCTTGCTGGTTTCCCACAGGCATCTGGTTGGCCACTGATGCTGGCCAAGTTGGACCATTGGCCTGATCCAGCAGGCTCTTCTTATGTTATTTAAGCAATTTACGAGGCTATGTAAACTACTCGTTTTAACAAATGGAAACCATGAACCATATTATCACATCAGTACTGCAGTACTGCCAGTAGCTATTTACAGTGTTAAGGCTAAATGCTATGTAGTAGTTTACAGACACTAAGAGATAATGACACAGTAGTTAACTCATCCAGAAATCATATGATAACTGACACCTCAGGATACAATGATAAATAATTCATTGCATTACTCTGCAGCATTTGCAACCAAAAATACCATGAAATTCAGATTAGACAAAGTCACTGGTGAGAAAGGTAAAGTGATTCAACCTATTCTGGATGGGGTTGCACTCCTCTTGGAGGAACAGAAACATTCCTTATTATTATTTCAGAAGTCTTTTAAAGTCTAACACCTGCCAGTTTAAACATGTAGCATATTGTGCATTTGCTACTTTTAGGATTTTGTTTTGCTTTTAAGTGTTAGATTATATGTTCTTTGTCCAAAAGAAGTCCAGGAGCTTTCTTTTGAGTAAGCAAGCATGGAATCACACTGTCAAGATCTCACAACATGAAGTATGGACATCCTCCCCCCCCCCCCCCGCAGTATTGCATCCTATGGTATCAGGATCTGATAAACTGTATTAGGCAACATACACACTATACCTTTAAAGCACTTTGCCCCTGTCAAAGAATTATGGGCACTGTAGTTTGTTAAAGGTTGCTCTGTGAAGGGTAAACTATAGTTCCTAGAATTCTTTGGAGAAAAAGAATGTGCTTTGCTTGTGACGTCCATTGGAAGTTTTAACATTCTTTAGTTACTTATGCTGTGCATCACCAGTTGTTTTTGAAGCTCTGAAATCACTTTAGTGAATTGCTATGTGGCACTGAAAAGCCCTGTTCTTTCGACCCTAGTGATTCCCTCCCCCCTCATTTCTGAGCATTATATTACTACTACTACTACTACTACTACTACTACTGCTGCTGCTGCTGCTGCTGCTGCTACAAAGCATGTATATAGTCCTTTACAGAGTTGTTAATAGTATTTTTTTAAAAAAAATTTATTGATTTTCTTTTCTCATAACAAATATCCAGTATCATTACTAAACATTCATTTTTCAACTCCCCCCTCCCTGTTCACTTCCCTCAGCTTCCATTTCTGGTTTATTACATTAAATGATACATTCTGTGTTATCACGTTGTTATATTTCTTGTTCTTTGTAAATAAAATTGTAAATGTTTATTTAAATCCTGCCAGCGAGTCCATTTTTTTTGTTTTGTTTCTGCAGATATATTGTAAAAGGTTCCAATATCACAATAGTGATTTTGATATTACATAGTATTAGTAATCTTTACAATTGCTTTGGGTAGTATTATTTCCATATTACATGACAAAGACTGCAGAGGGGATGAGTTGCCAAAAGCAACAGAACGAATTAACAGCAGAGGCAAGATTTCCTGTAGTGATTTCCTTGTTCACAGTCAGGCTCTTAGCTGCTGCACTACACAGATTTTGACACTGAGAAGCCACAGTTTCTGGCCTTAATTTCTAAATACTGATAATGACATATTGGGAGAATCTCCATCCCTCTGTTGACACAGGGATTCCACATGGCATCACTAATGGATAGCCACCCAGTCTCTCCTTAAAAGCCTCCTTAAAATGAAGAAGGGTCCACTAATGAAGAATGTTGAATTCAGTTGTCCCCCCAAACAAATATTTGGAGTTCCTGGTTGAGGCTTTTCAGCCTAAGAATGTGCATGAGCAGCACACATTTGCATGTATATATGTTTGTGCAATCATCCCTAGGAAGCCCCAGCTGGATCAGGGCACAGTAACTGAACTAGACAGCAAAGCCCTCTCACAGTTTTCAATTTAGAAATACAGCTATCTGTTTCCTCAATAAAACCTGCTATTACCTCCAAACTTGTTTCAGCAGCAATAGGCATTTTCTCTTTAAAACCGGCAGGCTTTCCTGGACAATTTGGTATGCAAATGTTCCCCCTAGGCTAAAGTAAAATACAGCTCTGCTTCTTATAGTCTTAACATGTATGTATTCTGTAAGGTGAAGAGATCAATCCTTTGTGTGCATAAATCTTGATGGTCTTTAATTCATGATGACCCCTCTAACCTCTACCTGTGTGAAATGTTCAGAATAATACGTTGCAGAGGAAGAGACACAAAATAAGGCTGATGGAAGCTTTAATTTTTTTCCTCCTGCCCAGACCAAAATGGTGAACATTGTAATGCCTTTGAAGAGGCTGCATTTATGTTGAAGAAGTAAGTCAAATAAGCACCTTTTAAAAACTTGCTACTTCAGATCATGTTATGCACCTTAGAATATACGTACAGTGGTACCTTCGTTCTCGAACGTGTCCGTTGACAAACGTTTCAGAACCCAAATGCTGAAAACCCAGAAGTAAATGCTTCTGCTGCATGTTTCTCAACTGAATTTGCAGACAGCCCTTTCGGTTTTTTAATGTTTCGGAACTCAAATGGTCTTCCAGAACAGATTACATTCGAGAACCGAGGTACCACTGTATAGAGCTTTCCATACTGTATTTTGTGTCATGAGAAGACAAGAATGTTAACAGTATGCATTTTTTATTTTTCAATATGGCGTGTCAATCAATCTTTTACTGCTCTTGCATCTCAAGAAAAATATTTTATTGGCTTACATACCAGACAGCGGCACTGTTGACAGCTGTATGTCCAATTGTCTCCACTTCGGTACAGCTTGTGCCCATTCTGATCTAAACATTGACTGGTGACTCTGGTATCACATTCTGGGCAGCAGAAGAAATCAACACTGGGATTCTGACAATCACACGTAGTTCGTCGACAGAATATTTTGCCATCCTGTCAAGAAACAATAATCATTAGTGTTTCTAAATAACGGATAGATCAAATTGGGGCAGTGCCTAGCAATGTGTGTTAGCAATTTGCATTTTATAGTGTTACTCATTATACTGTACAGTTCACAAATACAAGTGATTGGGAAGCTCAATGGCCACATTTCAGAAACTCATACCATGCTCATTGTTTTATAACAGGCAAGAGGTGACGCAGTATTATTTAAAAAAAAAATCTTCTATAGCAATTCTCATACTTCTGCTTGTGAATGAGGCTGCACAGACTCTTGCATAAATGGAAGAACACCTCTGGATATAGTTTCACTTTTGCCTTCCAAATGTGATGGAGCACCTTTGGAAACAATCCTAAATTTAGTGTTTGAATGTATTGCAAAGCTATTTATTCAAAGAAGCAAGAATATTTGTTCATAAACTTTCATGTACTTTTCTTTGCTTTCAACTGATGCATTAGCAGTAAACACCCAAGTAAGAAATTCATATTGGACTCAGTGCCATGTGGCAAGGATTCTGATGGCAACTGTTCTATGATGGCACCAACTGTTGGGTGAAATGCAGTGTATGTTGCTCCACTTACAGATGACATCGCATCCATTGCTGGAATGGGGAGGAGGCAATATCAGCAACTCTTCTTCCCATCCCTCCGTCCCCTAAATATACTCCAGCAGACCTCTCAGCTGTAAACTGCCTCTCTCTACTTTCTATTGATGGATGACTTTCACCAGCAGAGTGACACCCATTGAATATCCAGATTCACCTTGATCCTAGTTCTGGGTTGCCTTAAATAAATACTATGAGTATTCCCACAGACTTCAAAGACAAGATTATTTCTATTCCAAGGAGCAGCCAAAAACGTATCAAGCAGCACCTATTTTCTACATTTTTCCTGCTTTCTAGCCAATATTGGGGTTTATGTTTTATTCTGCTTAGTTTAGCATATTGTAAATGTTATCAAACTGAGGTTTGGATACTCTTTCCACTTATACAAGAAATATGCTCTCAAATTTCATCTTTGGAAGCTATGTGTGAATGGAAAAGTTCTCAACTTTACCACTTTAAACCATTGCCCTTGCAAATAGTTTCTTGCATGCATTCTGAATGAATAAACGTTTCTATTAGTCACATAATGAGTATCATGAAGCAACAATTTTCTTCACAAATTTTTGAATAACCATGTAATTTTAGAGATAATATCTTCAATAATTTTGTGGCTGAACAGGTGGCACCATTAATTTAACAAAAATGCATTACACTGCAAAACCAGGCCTGTCAGAGGAATTTAATACAGCAAGTTAATGGAGGAACCTATCATCTTTTCACCTTCAGTTATATCTAGTTATGTTGTTGTTGGGTTTTTTACAGCTTGACTTGCAGTCCAACAGAGGAAGTAGTAGGAGACTATGTCACCATATCTAACAACTCAGCACAATTTCACATTCCTTTCTTGCTGAAATCAGGATGTAAAAGTGCTTCACTCTAGATTGGCTCCTGCTCTCAGACTCATTTTTGAAAAACTTTTTATTTATACCTCTCAGAAATGAAGCTTTAATACCACAACTGCTAAATATTTACTCCTTGCATAGGATCCTGCACATTTCAGTGGCTACAGATTAAATTACAATCCTTGTGATAACTAGAGCATCAATATTGTTTTAAAACGTAAAAAAAAAAGTATGCGTTGGCTTGATGGAAAAGGGAAAATGAGTTTATTCAAATTGTGAGGATGATAATTATAGGAATTATTGTGCTGGAAACTCTACCTGTTATTATAGGTGAATAAATAATTTCAATGCTTTTACATGCATAGCATTGAACTGAAATCTAGAATACTAATGATTTATTTCAAATTAGGTAATGGGTTCTTCATTTGCTGAACGGTTAATTCAAGCAAAACAAAAAAAAAACCCACCCCCACCCAACTGCTTTTAAGAACGGTTTTCAGCCCACCTACTCATAGGCAATACTATCTCAAAGTTGTGCTTCCTACAGTAGGGTGAAGAAAAGAGACAGGTAGACCTGAGAAGTAGCTGGCACAGCAGCTGCTGAGACTCACTGGGCTGCTGAACTTCTGAAGAGACAACCATTATCTCCAGGTGAGAGTACAGTAAATTTGCAGTTCAAATGTGAAAATGTACATCAGTTATCGGTAGCATAGTAAATGTCAAGCTACGTTGTCACACAGCTACTTCACCCTGAGTTCAAACGTTGCCCATGTTTCAAAGAGCAAGATTGCTGGTTTTCATGTATGAAAGAAGCTTACACCCAGTACTTTTTTTTTCCTGGGGGTACTCAAGTGTATGCAGTACAGGCACCTTTTCTTCTAAAAGAAAAGCACTGCTTACACCAGTGCAGATAAACAAATTGAAGCAATCAGGAACCATTTCATAAAAGGTTGCAACTGGTTTTATTAATAAGAAAAATATTTCTAGCCTTCATAGCTGTGGAACCCTGGAATATTAGAGGCAGCCTAGCAAAGATTTAGTGCCTAGTGAAAATTCAGGGGCATATCCAGACATCTAAGAAAGGGATGCTTCCAGTTCTCATCAATCAAATTTCTGTCCAGATTTTGGAGTTTGGAATAGCCTTGTTTTGTTTCAAAAGTGGAATTAGAATTAGGAATTTTGCATTATTTCTTTAAAAACAAAAACAAAACAGCAACCCTGAATTCTATGCAGAACAATGTGCCTGAACATTACAGTGTGTCTCCCCACACAAAAACAAAGCAAGCAAACAAACAAACAAAAAACCACTTTCAAGATGCCTATGGTTAGCCAAAGTTCCTTTCATGTCTTGCAGTGGGTGGTTATTATTATTGTTTAAGTGTTTCACTTCATGTTTTATTTGCATCTGTTACATTTTGGTATTCATTTTCCCCCTTTTTAAAAAGACATTTTTGCTACCACCTCTGAGGGCAATGCAGCAGAGTTCAGCATCACTCAAGTTTTGCAATGGTTCATTAGTGATACTGAAATTAAATTATTCAAATTAAATATGTAGTGCAACCTAGTCCATATACTTGATGTAACTGGTATTTGGACTTAATTAGAATTTCATATTTTTCCAACACAGTTTTCAGTATCATTGGAATTATTATGCCTCTCGTAGTATTCTATGTTTTGTATACAGACCTGTTCACTCTGCACTCTACAGAGAGCAATTTGACCCCAATATTTCAGTGTCACAAATATGTAGCCTTTTCCGCCGCACAAAGTCTCTTGTTGCTTTGGAGTGTCAAATATCCATCTCTTAAAATAACCTCAGCAATTTCTAAATAATTTGTCCACTATGTGCACAGACTGAACAAGTGGGAAATCTAGTCTCTCTTCATCTGATAAAATAAGAACGAAAAACGAGCCGCTGTATCACTATGACCACTACCAAACACCACTACTCCTGTACTTCAACTAATTACACCAAGAGAAGTTACAAAAAGAATGACATTTGAGCCCAGTGACAAGAAAGCAGCTAATACTTTGGAATAATCAGAGGTTTAGATAAGGGAAAAACTGGTGGTGAATTTGTGTAACAAGTTATTTTAAAAGTTAGATGAATAATAAAATTGTAGAATTGGAATGGACCCCAAGGGACATCTAGTCCAACCCCCTATAATGCAGGAATCTCAACCAAAGCATCCATGACAGCTGGCCATTCAACCTCTGCTTAGAAACCTCCAAGAAAGGAGAGTCCAGAACTTTCCAAAGAAGTCTATTTTTCTGGTTTAAATTCATGGCGCTATAGTTTACCCCTCACAGAGATACCACCCCAGCACTCTTAACAAACCACAGATCCCAGGATCTTTCCAAAACTAAATTTCTATAAATTATAAGCACAGGTTCAAGGAATCAATTAAAATCACAAGTGCACTTCCATTCATTACTAGTAGGGTGGTTTATATCAATAATTGAGACCTGTTAAGTATTGCTTGTATGCTCATGCCCAAGTCTGGAAAGGGGGACTCTTAATGGTGAACTTAACTACTTCCTCCTCAAGTGACTAAAACCCAAGCTTGAAGTGCAATTAAATTTGAACCCAGATCATAATTGGTTTCTCAGTTCCATTGTCAGGATCACTGCCACTAGAGTGTTTCACATTCTCAATTAACTGGTCGTGGATCACAGTGGAGAGTTGTTGCTGGTGAGGCCCCCCCCTTCCTTTCTCCCTGGCATGATGAGCATTAAACAGTAGCATTCCAGGTGCCAAGGCCCCTTGGAAATGTGGTTATCCATGGTGCCTAAGTCTTTGGAGATGCTGCTGAAGTTCCCCTGAGTCAGGCTTGGAAAAGAACTCTGGAGCTCATTAAGCCTGCCTTAGAAAATCCTAGCAGAAGAACTGCTTGCTCACTTTACACCTACTGAATAAAACGGAGCTCTGTTTCTTCTTTACATCCAGTAAAGAGCGCTGAAGCCACTGTAGGGGCAAAGAACAAATGTGAGGGAGAAGCCAAGGGCCCCATGAGGCACGGGATCCTCATTACCACTTTTGTATTTTGTCCCTGCGGGGTCTTTCATCACTCCCATACAGAACAATGGCTCAATTTATTTATACAGGGGCAGGCAAAAGACACTGTAGAAGAAGGTTTAATGCTGAAAGATGACTCACGGAGTTGGCTTCTTTCCCCATCCTCACTGGTGCACCTTTATTCTTGCCCAATTCAATATAATGCAAGCTACTATGTCTAATGGGGCCATAATAAAGAGGTGCAGGCATGATAAATTGCGGTGGTAGAAGGAATACAACCTCTCATATTTACACCCTTGAATTGACTTGGAAAGCTTTTCCTGGTTTGGCAGGGGGAGGGGAGAACCTCAAATAATTTCCAAGTGAATCCAAAGCAAATTTTCCACAGTTCACCCATCTCAAGTTCATGGTGTAGACACTGTGCTCCATAATCTAGGATATGTATTTTCCAGGATGCTTAACAGACATAGGAAGGCCTCGGGTGCCTGAAGAATGATAAATCCCAGAATCCCTGGCACATGATGCACTGCATTAAAGACACCAAGAGGGAGAGAGGAAGAAACAGAGGCCTCAAGAGAGGACCTCCCATTACCACAACTGCCTGGTATGTTGAAAAAGACAGACAAGGTATTAGGGGGAGGTTCACAGGTAGGAGTGTGAGGGAATGTTTAGACTCTTGTTCTGCTGCTTGTCATGGGGCCGGAATTTGCAACTGGGTTCGGAAAATAAACACATGGTACGTTTCTAAATATTCAGAGTGGAATCCAGTTTGTCTGTTATATTAAAGGAAGAGTTTTTGATGCAGTGGATACCACCGCTAACAGAAGGAAGGGAAATTTGGCTGATTCCTTCTTTGCCCCCTTAAGCCATCTTGGCCCTCTGAAAATCTGCTCCTGAGGGCTGGGGAACACCCCAGAACTGCCTAGAAGGTGATATGGGAGGCTACAGAGTGATGGAAGAATCTGAAGATTACCTTTCCTGCTTTCCATCAGCAGAGGTCTGCATCAGACCAAAGACTCTTCTGCAAATGGAAGGGGCTCCTTCCATTTGCATATTGTTCACCAGTTATTTTTTTGTACACAAAGGTAAGACATATGATGGCCAAGCAATTTGGTTTGTTGAGCTCCACTTTGAATCAAGCAGATGAAAATATGTACATCACTATTTAAATCATGTTTTCACCCACACACTATCTTGGGAATCTCTTTTCAGGGAACACTAGCTTCCATACTAGTAAGTCAGTAAAGCTGCTTTATTTGTGGGGGGACGACAGAAAGAAAACAGGATTAAAGACAACACAGCTCCACCAATGCTGTTATAATTCACATAAGGCTTGAGGGATGTACTCTGAGAAAGCAGCGAAAATCTACTTCAGGCTACTTTGGGTAATGAATGCACTCAACTAATTAAGCTGTTAGAATTTTAATGTTTTAGCAAATTCTGCCCTCATTCATAGGAACAAAAACCAGTATGTTTAGACAGGATTAGATGAAATATTATGTCTGGTGGATTGCTGCAGTAATCCCTTCCTCACTTATCTGTGAAATATTATTATTATTTTAAAAAAGGTATCTTCACATGGTCCAAACCTGGGCAGATTATGCCAGAATTGGATATCATTGGCCATGGGGTGGACGATCTAATTCCACATTCACATATGAAGCAGTGTTGGGACAATTAGGATTTTGTTAGCTATTTCAGCGAGCTAAGAGTACATTCAACAGAACATTTTATGGAAAGAGGTTTTATTTTATGTGAAAGATACCAGACTGTTTCAATTAAGGCACTGTAGAAAAATTCATACATAATTTACTAGTGTCAATTGTTAGAGAATATTAAAATAACTTTTAATAAATAGCCCTGACTAACTAGCAATAAACTGTATTAAGACCCATAAACAGTCTATGCTGTCCTTAGCATAGTCATATTATACCTTCAGTAGGACTTGGAATGCTCAGAAAAGTTGAAATACTCCCACCAAATGATGATATTGTAGCTCTTTATGGTGGTATTATCCCTATTTTGTTCCTCAAAAGATATTCTCAAGAACTTCTTCCTGACTGTGAAGCAGTCCTTATGGAGACGTGCACACAAGTTGAGGTAATTTTAATATGTTTTAGTATTTTGACTTTTATATGTTTTAAAGTACGGTTGTGATTTCTTCTTGATTTTACTGTTTTTTTTCTTTTGTAAACCACTTTGAAGTTTTCAAGTGGTGTATAAATTTTATGAAATAAATAAATGAGCCATTTTTGCCACCAGCCGTTCCTTCTGCAAGAATGCAAGTTTCCTCCTAAATTTTCAGGTAATACTTTTGGAAAGAGGAAAAGTAGTCTTATAAAACCATATTTTGCATGCATGATTGCATCATAAATATTGTTAAAATGTTGCTTGAGGATGGGGTCCTATTATCCCCAGTGTTGCAAATTGCAATACTACAGGAGAGTAGTGGAGATTGCTTCTGTTGCAAATATTTCTGATACAAATATTCCAAGTAAATTTCACATTTCACAAATTCACCATGTTTGACATTTATAGAGTCTCAAACATAATTAGGGCTAATGTAGCACAATTGTGAACTAGGAAATTCCCAGTCCAAATTCCATCTCTGCAACAAGCTCACTGGGTGATTTTTGTGATTATAATAATGATTTACCTTACAGGGTTTATGGATTCCTGCAGCAATGCCCTGAATGCTAATGAACTATAAATGCTGTGTGTGTTGCTGCCACCATACAAACCTCTGGTGGTGAGGGCACTTTTGTTTGAAAGGTATGAGTGAAAAGTATGAGTGAGGGCTATCTATCATACAGGGAAAGGTTTCCCTTAAATGTACCGTATTTTTCGCACCATAGGGCGCACCGGACCATAGGGCACACCCAGTTTTTAGGGGGGGAAATCAAGAAAATTCTTTCCCCCCCCCAGCCCCAAAGAGCAGCGTACAGGCTGCGCACAACCTCTCCCTGCCGGAGGGGTTGCGCGTGGCTATGGCACAAGCCAAGGCAGCAAGCGGGATGGATCCCGCTCGCTGCTTTGGCTTCCTCTTTAGCCCCGCGGAATCTTTCCCTGCGGGGAGAGGCTGCGCAGGGCTAAAGAAGCCATATGGCACAAGCCTGCATTCGCTCCATAGGACGCACACAAATTCCCCCTTAATTTTTGGAGGGGAAAAACTGCGTCCAATAGAGCGAAAAATACGGTAATTTTTAGCATCCAGCAGCATTCATCTTTTCAGTCACCTACAACTGTCCCAGGGCACTGAAGTTTCTTCTCGCAGTTTCATAAATAGAAGAGTTGTATAGACCAGGAAGTTTACTTGTTGTTTTCTCATACCATTTTTGCGTGGATGCAAACCTGCTTGCTAGAGTGAATTTGCTTTTTTTTTCTTTTAAAGGAACCAAGAAAAGATTAATTCAGATTACAACTCCCCAGGGGGAGCCCAGGTGATTTGGGAAGAATTCAGCCTGCAGTCTGACATGGATTTAGTTCTTTTAAAATGGGTTTCTTATTTTAAAAAATACACAAGGAAAAGAAGAAATTGTATTATTAAAAAAGTAAAAAAAATCAAACAGGAACTTACCTTACAAGAGCAAACAGAACACCTGTCTTTCTTCAGTGTCCATACCTGGCCATTCCGTTTCAAGCCTCCTTCATGTGTGCAGTCACCAGTGCAGGATGGTCCAGATGGACAGAGGCAATCAAATCCTCCTGCCAGGTTCACACAGGCGGAGTCATTCCAGCAAGTGTGAGTCCTCAAGGCACATTCATCAATATCTGCACAATACAGAAGAGTTTATTGGGCTTCAGCAAGTTGTGTGATCCATAGTTCTTTGGGAACATCAAGTAGTTACTTGAGACTGGATTTGTAGGCCTGCTTTGCTAAGAGGATATATACTTTCTACACCCACACTCTTAAAATGATTTCTTTAAAAAGGTTATTTCTCAAGTTGAATCATAACCAAGTAAAAGAAATAAGAAACAACTTTTAGAAACTTCTGTTCTTGCATTATTATAACTCTTCCTAGATGCTTAATGGTTAAGAGATTATGTTGCCTCTCGAGGGCATAAAACAATGATTTAAAAAAATAATAATAATAACGGAAGGGGACCAGTAGTTGTCTTTTTAAAAAAACATACTGAGTAGGAGTAAATTGCTCCTAAGTAGCAGGCTATTCTTGGATTTGTACAGGAAAAAGAAGTAGTAAGGACATAAGTAAGCTTTTGCATGAGCATAAGTATATGAAGACGAGCAGCAAAGTCAGTCCTCAGGGAATGTGCAGGCGACCTTGGAACGGACAGCTCACGGAAGAACCCCGACCAAACCTAAGAGGAGGCGTGTAGTGGTGATAGGGGATTCCCTACTGAGGGGAACAGAAGCAGTGATCTGTGGGCCTGACAAGATGTCTCGGGAAGTGTGCTGTCTCCCCGGGGCTAAGATCCAAGATGTAACTGAACGACTGCAAGGAATCATAAAACCCACTGATAAATACCCCTTCCTCTTGGTTCATGTGGGAACCAATGACACTGCAAGCAATAGCCTCCAGAAGATCAAAAGAGACTACGAGGCTCTGGGCAGGAAATTGAAGGAATTAAATGCACAAATTGTTATCTCATCTGTTCTCCCAGTTGAACGATGTGGCCCAGGGAGAGGGGGGAAAATAGTGGAAGTGAACAGCTGGCTTCGCAAATGGTGTAAACAGGAACGGTTTGGATTCTTAGAACACGGACTGCAGTTTCTTGAAGATGGACTTCTGGCAAGCGATAGGCTGCACCTCACAACGGTTGGGAGGAATGTTTTTGCCAAAAATCTCAGAAACCTCATCAGGAGGGCTTTAAACTGACTAATGTGGGGGGAGGGAGACAGTGCTCCTGAAGGTAGGAGTCTATCAATTGATGAAGATGATCATCCAAATGTCATAGACCAAATGGAGCAAACAGCACGCAGACCTAGTGGTGGGAGGAAAAAATCCTTAAATAAGAGACACGGGTGAATGATTAATGGACTTCAATGTCTGTACACTAATGCGCAAAGCATGGGAATAAACAAGATGAGCTTGAGCTCTTGGTACAGCAAACTAAATATGACATAATAGGCATCACTGAAACCTGGTGGGATAAGTCCCACGATTGGAATGTAATAATGGAGGGATACAATCTATTTCAGAGAAACAGACCAGACAAGAAAGGAGGAGGAGTGGCGTTATATGTCAGGGATGTGTATACCTGTGAAGAGATCCAAGATTTAGAACCTCAAAGCCAAAGTGAGAGCATTTGGGTCAAAATTAAGGGAGAGAAGAATAACAGTGACCTCATTGTGGGAGTTTACTATAGATCCCCAAGCCAAACGGAGGACATAGATGATGCCTCCTGGAACAGATGGCCAAGCATGCAAAAGGAATGTAGTAGTAATGGGGGACTTCAATTACCCGGATATTTGTTGGATGTCAAACTCAGCCAAGAGCATAAGGTCAAACAGATTCCTCACTGGCCTTGCAGACAACTTCGTTGTCCAGAAAGTGGGAGAAGCAACAAGAGGAACAGCCATTTTAGATCTGGTCCTAACCAATGTTGATGACCTGGTTAGTGGGGTAGAAGTGGAAGGATCATTAGGCGCGAGTGATCATGCTCTTCTGAAGTTTACTATACAGCGGAAAGGAGCAGCCAAGCATACTAGGACTCAATTTCTTGACTTTAAGAAAGCCGACTTCATAAAACTTAGGGAAGTGCTGGGTGAGATCCCATGGACAGTAATACTAAAAGGAAAGGGAGTTCATGATGGCTGGGAGTTTGTTAAGAGGGAGATAGTAAAAGCACAACTTCAGGCAATACCAATGAGACGGAAACATGGAAGGTGCCTAAAGAAGCCAGGGTGGCTATCTAAAGAACTTTTAACTGAGTTAGGATTAAAAAAGGATGTGTACAAAAAATGGAAAAGGGGGGAAACCACCAAAGAGGAATTCAAACAAATAGCCAGCACGTGTAGACACAAAGTCAGAAAAGCTAAAGCACAGAATGAACTCAGGCTTGCTAGAGAGGTTAAAAGCAACAAAAAGGCTTTTATGGGTATGTTCGTAGCAAAAGGAAGAACAAAGAAACAGTGGGGTCACTCAGAGGAGAAGATGGTGAAATGCAAACAGGGGACACAGAAAGGGCTGAACTCCTCAATGCCTTCTTTGCCTCAGTCTTCTCCGATAAAGAAAACAATGCCCGACCTGAAGAATTTGGAGCAAATGATTCAGCAGAGGAAACACAGCCCAGAATAACTAAGGAGATAGTACAAGAATACTTGGCTAGCTTAGATGTATTCAAGTCTCCAGGGCCAGATGAACTGCATCCAAGAGTATTAAAAGAACTGGCAGATGTGATCTCAGAACCACTGGCAGTCATCTTTGAGAATTCCTGGAGAACAGGCGAAGTCCCGGCAGACTGGAGGAGGGCAAATGTCGTCCCTATTTTCAAAAAGGGGAAAAGAGAGGACCCAAATAATTACCGCCCAGTCAGTCTGACATCAATACCAGGGAAGATTCTGGAGCAGATCATTAAGCAAACAGTCTGTGAGCACCTAGAAAGGAATGCTGTGATCACCAATAGTCAGCATGGATTTCTGAAAAATAAGTCATGTCAGACTAACCTGATCTTGTTTTTGACAGAATTACAAGCCTGGTAGATGAAGGGAATGCAGTGGATGTAGCCTACCTTGATTTCAGCAAGGCATTTGACAAGGTGCCCCATGATATTCTTGTAAAGAAGCTGGTAAAATGCGGTCTTGACTATGCTACCACTCAGTGGATTTGTAACTGGCTGACTGACCGAACCCAAAGGGTGCTCATCAATGGTTCCTCTTCATCCTGGAGAAGAGTGACTAGTGGGGTGCCACAGGGTTCTGTCTTGGGCCCGGTCTTATTCAACATCTTTATCAACGACTTGGATGATGGACTCAAGGGCATCCTGATCAAATTTGCAGATGACACCAAACTGGGAGGGGTGGCTAACATCCCAGAGGACAGGATCACACTTCAAAACGACCTTGACAGATTAGAGAACTGGGCCAAAACAAACAAGATGAATTTTAACAGGGAGAAATGTAAAGTATTGCACTTGGGCCAAAAAAATGAGAGGCACAAATACAAGATGGGTGACACCTGGCTTGAGAGCAGTACAAGTGAAAAGGATCTAGGAGTCTTGGTTGACCACAAACTTGACATGAGCCAACAGTGTGACGCGGCAGCTAAAAAAGCCAATGCAACTCTGGTCTGCATCAATAGGAGTATAGCATCTAGATCAAGGGAAGTAATAGTGCCACTGTATTCTGCTCTGGTCAGACCTCACCTGGAGTACTGTGTCCAGTTCTGGGCACCACAGTTCAAGAAGGACACTGACAAACTGGAACGTGTCCAGAGGAGGGCAACCAAAATGGTCAAAGGCCTGGAAACGATGCCTTATGAGGAACGGCTAAGGGAGCTGGGCATGTTTAGCCTGGAGAAGAGGAGGTTAAGGGGTGATATGATAGCCATGTTCAAATATATAAAAGGATGTCACATAGAGGAGGGAGAAAGGTTGTTTTCTGCTGCTCCAGAGAAGCGGACACGGAGCAATGGATCCAAACTACAAGAAGAAGATTCCACCTAAACATTAGGAAGAACTTCCTGACAGTAAGAGCTGTTTGACAGTGGAATTTGCTGCCAAGGAGTGTGGTGGAGTCTCCTTCTTTGGAGGTCTTTAAGCAGAGGCTTGACAACCATATGTCAGGAGTGCTCTGATGGTGTTTCCTGCTTGGCAGGGGGTTGGACTCGATGGCCCTTGTGGTCTCTTCCAACTCTATGATTCTATGATTCTAAATACACTTCCATGCTAACAGCAGTTGTAGGGTTCCCATGTTAGAAGCAGGGCATGAAAAAATAAAAGCCAGACATACATTCTGGAGGAAAGGGAAAGTGCCATGAATAAACCTTCAGGCAATTTGGCCTTAAGTGTGTTGGTTTTTTGTTTTTTTTAAAGTAAGGGTTATATTATTTTATCACAAATAATCTAATTTCAGAGACTTCTTTCCTCCAATGCTGTACTGCTGACACAAGGAAACCACTCACATGAGCAATTAAATATGCCTACTTGGTCTCTTATGTGTTTTACTCCCCCAACGCTATACTGTTCATACGTAAGAGACACAGCTAAGATAATATATGAACCAGTTACTATTACAGATGAAATAAAACACCTGTCTTTAGCAGAAATAAGACAGTCCTCTCAAGCTGAAATTTAGGGTAGTAGCAATAAAAGTGAAACAGAAAATCCACCTCATATTTCTTGGTTAGAAGACGCACTTATTCTAACCCCAAAGGAATCCAGAGCAAAACGTATTTCTAATGTCTCTCTATTCTGGGCTTGTATTCAAGTGGCACAGACAAATTAGTGTGGATCTAATTACAGAGCATTAGCAAAGTAGCACTTGCTCTCTAGACAAGAGTCACTCACAATAATAATTCTACAACAACAGCTCTGTTTACAACTTTCACAGCTAGTGTGCTTTGCAGGCCAATTGAGGAAATGAGCAGAGATGATATTATCTCTTTGTATGATGAGAAGAATTCATGAAGTTGAAAAGATTTTCAGTTCAGGGATCATCCATTCATTCACACACACACATTTTAGCTGAGGAAGTGCAAACTACACCAACAATGGAGAAGCATAATAATAAAGGTAAAGGGACCCCTGACCATTAGGTCCAGTCGTGACTGTCTCTGGGGTTGCGGCACTCATCTCGCTTTATTGGCCAAGGGAGCTGGCGTTTGTCTACAGACAGCTTCCGGGTCATGTGGCCAGCATGACTAAGCCGCTTCTGGTGAACCAGAGCAGCCCACGGAAATGCCGTTTACCTTCCCGCCAGAGTGGTACCTATTTATCTACTTGCACTTTGATGTTCTTTCGAACTGCTAGGTTGGCAGCAGCAGGGACCGAGCAACGGGAGCTCACCCCATCACGGGGATTCGAACCGCCGACCTTCTGATCGGCAAGTCCTAGGCTCTGTGGTTTAACCCACAGCGCCACCCGCGTCCCTCCTAATAAGATACAACAATATATTTAACTGAAAGCTGCATAGAAGACAGAATTGTGACCCTACCTGTAGGTTAAAAAAAGAGCCTTTGAGGATGGGGGATTCAGAAGCTCAACAATATCACTTACACTGTGTCCTTTTTTAGCTCACAATTTGTTTTGTCTTAGATTGCAGTCATATCGTCCCTGAGACCCTAGGACCCATCAGATCTCCCTAAGGGGAGGAGGAGAGAGTCCACCTTTGGAGAGGAAGGTGTTGAAGGTTGTGGAAAAGTTCCTGCAGAAGGTTCCTTTCCAACACTGAACAGCGAAAAGGAGGTGCTCACAAGGGGTGTTCTAGGCAAGGTTGCAGATCTTTCCGAAACTGGCATAATTTATTCCACTCCCATTAAATTCTTTGTGAGGGAAAAGTTTCTCAAAAACAAAGAAACCCCCAGAAACAAACAAACAAAAAAAAATAGCAACAGCCACTTAGAACAGGAAAATAGGAAAGCACCATCCCACCTTCTGCCCTATCTGGAAGGACAAAGGAAAAGGGAGTTAGTCCCCCTTTGTTCCCCTCTGCCTACCCTTTTGGATTGTCCTATTTGTTTCACTGGAGCTCAATGAGCAGCTCAAAAGTTTGCATGTAGACATTTCAGCAGCAAACAAAAATTACTGGTTCATTTCCTCTTAGAGATGTGGCAATGTTAATTAAATACCGCAGAAAAGCAGCAAAACATATGAGCCCCATTTGCACAAATCTATTTTTAGCTACAATGCTAATGACACAATTAGACTTCCTATTCTGATATATATATATGATATATATGATATGAAAAATGATCTTACCATATATTAGCATAGCAAAAGATTTTCTTTTGGCTGTTATTTAAAAGATTACATGCAGTATGGAATGTGCAATTTACAACACAAGTGGCAAGCACAAGCAGCGATTCTATCGTCCATTAGAATGTTGTTGAATTGTGCACTCCGGGCATCAATAATAGGGTTAAATCTACTCCTTCACTGCAAGCTCCTTAAGTGCTTCTCCCTTAATTATGTTTCATGTCCCTCCCTGCCCCTGGAAAAGAAAAAGAGCTACAAGGGAAGGTCTATTTCTGGTTGGGAAAAGGACGGGAGGGAAAAGGGTTAAAAAGCCTCTCTGTATCTAGTTTTCTATATAAACACAACCTTCCCCAGGCTCCACACACATATACATCACAATGCTCTGCTTAATGTGTAGTTTGAGTCTCAGTTTACAATAACGTTCCCATTAGACAGTTCTCCTTCCCTAGAAGACTTCTCTTGCAATGATCATTTTGCTGCTTCATTCTGACAAAATAAATAGCCATAATGTGGCCATCTTGTGCGGTCATAATGTGCGGTCTTGACTATGCTACCACTCAGTGGATTTGTAACTGGCTGACTGACCGAACCCAAAGGGTGCTCATCAATGGTTCCTCTTCATCCTGGAGAAGAGTGACTAGTGGGGTGCCACAGGGTTCTGTCTTGGGCCCGGTCTTATTCAACATCTTTATCAACGACTTGGATGATGGACTCAAGGGCATCCTGATCTAATTTGCAGATGACACCAAATTGGGAGGGGTGGCTAACACCCCAGAGGACAGGATCACACTTCAAAA